CCCCAAAACCCCAAAACCCCAAAACCCCATTAATTGAATCTTAATTATTTCTGAGTAAAAATTATTGAAATTAATGAGATATCTATAAATATGAAGCTCTTAAAAAGCTTGATTTCTTATTATTTCTAGTTGATGTAGATTATTATCATAAGTATTTTACTACTTCCCTTAAGATGTGATCTCTAAGAGTAGCAAGTTTATTCGGGATCTTTTTCCTTTAGAGCAGGTGAATTGTAAAGAGTATTGACCCTGCTTGATCCAAGTACACTCTTTAGCAAAACTTTAAAAGCACTTTCTTTTTATCGGCAATAGCAACTAAATGGTTTTTCTCAAGAGTTTCTATCAATTAATTCCTCTCATCCTCTGTGATCTCTCTTTTCAGGTATGTCAGCGCTTGATTAATCCTCTACTCGTTAACATGAGAAGAGAATAAGATATCAATAAAACTCAATCCATCTTCTCTTATTGGCTTCTAGATATTAAAACCAGCTTTGATAAACATCATCAAGACAGATTCAAACAACTGATTGTCAGTATTCTGAGTGATCTTCCAAATCTGGCTCTCTCCATTATATTTATATAGAGGGAACCCAATGTCTAGTAGTCTTTTAATAAACCGCGTATCTTTATGTTTTATAGTTTCAGTTATCGCGAAATCTAGCAGGTTTCCTTTTCCATCTTTACTTTTTGCACTCAGTGCTTAAATAAACTTTGAAGGGACTTTTAGCTATTCTGGGCTAAATTTTCCTTCCTCTTTTTCCTCTTCCTCGCCGTACTCTTAAGGCTGTTGGTTTTGGGGTCCATTTAATCTTTCCTGAGCGAGGCATTCCTCGAGTTATCCAACAATCTGGTTGAATCTATCTATGTTTTTTGTAGCTATGAAGGTAAACAAATCATTAGAAGTTTCTAAAATGCCCTTCTTTGTTAGATTCTCCATTCCTGTTTATCCAGCTTCATGGTACTCTGATATCAAATCCATCATATTACCATAAGCTGAAGCAAAGCTAAGAGTACCTCCTCTGCCTCGGTTCACTTAATGTGCACCTCTCTAATTCTATAGGCCTCCTCTGTTAACTAGCGGATTTATTCTAGCTGCATTCTAAGCTACACCTGCCAAACCTCCTCTTGCTTGGTTTGGTAATCCTCTAGCCTAAACATTTCCACCTCTTCCTCTAGCTGCTGCTGGTTAACCTCGGTTATTATTAGCTGCTCTCATTATAATAAATGAAATTATATTGATTTTTTGTTCTTTAATAGTGCAGTCAAGATATTTTATAAATCATAAGAAATTCATCTTTAAGATTTCTGATTTTTACTACAAAACTGATTTAATGCAAGTGGGGGTTTTGGGGTTTTGGGGTTTTGGGG